GAAGTCAAGGTGCACGCACGCAGGATAATGCTCACTCACGTTTAAGCTATTGATGCAATCCTAGGGGGAAAAAATAGCAAGGCCGGGGAATGTGTACCGTGTGTCCTTCATCAGTCTCTCCTCTCTGCAACCTGACATAACTCTGTTCCACCCTCCACACTTTTCCTGTCTGCACTGTGAGTCCCCAGTGATGGCCTGAAACTTTGGGGTCTGTGATCATCTGAGGTCTGTCAGCCTCTGGAAAGTCAGGGAACCCGAGAAGAGGGAAGAGGGAGGACTTCTGTTTGATTTTCACACAAGCATCGCTAAAGAGTCAGGCAAAATCGTTTCAGTTGGCCTCAAAACTGAACCTACAGTTGAATCTTTGGGCTGTGTAGGGTTGTTTTGTTTCTTGAAAAACAAACTCTTTTGGGGGCCGAATGAAAAGGAACTAGACAGTTCTGTGTCAGAGCCTTTCCAACCGGGGGGCAGAATCTGGTTAGCTCCATTAGGTCGGTTAATACTGATTGAGCACCTGCTGCGTGCAGAGCAACCGCAGGCTGCACTCAGGCAGCTGAGCGCTTCCTAAGGAAGCAAATGCAGCTTCTTTCTCCTCCAGGAACTTTTGATCTCATGGGGGAATCCGGGGCCAGCCTGAATACACACATACAAAGACCGAATGACGTAGCCGACACTCTATAGAGACGAGCCTGACAAGCAGCCAGCCGCTCAGTTACGTTAAATAATATTTCAAAACTTTTATTCTTCGGCCGAAAAGAAACTGAGCGCTTTACACCAATCACTGCCATTCTTTCGAATATCCATTGAATTAATTGTGGGGTATTTTAGTTGAATTTTTTTTAAATCTCCCTCCTCTTTTCCACACTCCACTTGTTATTTCTTTCTTCATCTCCAGACAAACAGTTTCTCCTTTTTCACCGACCACGCCTCAGCTCATATGTATTTTAAAGATACAAACTTCCTATATCAAGCTTCTCCCATTAAAAATAAACGGAGCTTTATCGGTTTCTTTTCAGATTCTCCGTGGAAATCCCCATTATCAGAGAAGAACCAGAAAGAGCTTGCCAACTCCTACCCCTCCTCTTTCCTTAAAAATGAGTATATACATACATAAATAAGCAAATAGTAAGAAATTCTTGTTTTTACTTCTTCAGATAATCACTCTAGTTCAGCAAACATCTGGGTATTGAGCCTGAGCTATGTTCTTGCACAGTGCTGGGTCGTAGGGAAAAAGATGATGACTCCATAGCCTCGTCTAGCTCATGAGTGTGAAACGTGACCACCAGTATCGGTGGAGAAACTCCCCCCCCCACACAGCATTCGGCGCTGGGTGCTGTGAGGTGCGCAGAGAGAAATAATGCACCGGCCGCCACCTAGAGATGCTTCCAGTCTCTGCAAGAAGCTGCTGGTAGTTTATTCTCATTTTAAAAACTAGGAACTGTTCGTGCAAGTATGCGTGAGCTGAAATGGCAGTAGGTCCATCACGAGAACACGAGGGGAGAGGGCCTCGATCAGGGAGGCATCCGGGGCTTGGGGCAAGGTTCAAGGTGAAAGCCTTGAAGGCTTCAGACGTAACCAGAAGTGCTTTCCACAGAGGCAAACTGGTGGGGGATGGAGGGGACACCTGGGGATGTCCAGGGGCCTCCACCCGGCCACTCGGTCCCTCGCTCTGCTTCCTCCTTCCTCCCACCAAGTTAGTCCCTCTCCCTCCCCACTGTCTTCTTTTCTTCTGACTCTGCCTCTTGAGTTCCCGCCGACGTGTGGCAGCTCCCTGGCCCCACAGTCTGGTTAGCTCACACGGCTGGAGTAGCGCTCGGTGCTCAGGAGAACAAAATGAACGCTTCTTCTTTTCTGCTGAAGGGAGCTCCATTCCGAAGGCACGTGCAAGAGCCCCAGCTCCTGGATGATGAAGAGGCCCTATTATCAGGAAGAGAAAACAGCTTATGGGAAGATGGGGCAGCAGTCCCCTCGTCAGGGAACAGCCGACTTCCTGTCCACTGACAAACATCTCCTGGGCTCCGCTTGACAGTATGCTGTAGATTTCCCACAGTGGGATTCAGCGGCTGTCCCCAGTGGACCCCCTCCCTCTGTCCCCTGGGAGGTGAGGGTTCAGATGCCTTCCAGATCGTGGGTGTCTGCTGCGCAACAGCGCCCCCTAGTGTGAGCTGTAAAGAGCCAGCTTAGTTTTCCCTCCATGACCCAAACACAAGAAAGCAAACTTGGTTTTTTTTGTTGGGATTTTTTCCAGCTCCTTTAGGAAAAGTTGAACGTTGGAAGGTTTTCCCTAAATAAGCTGCCCTTGGCTGAAGACCTGGAATTTATGCCCATTTTGTTCAGCAGAACGCTCACATTCCTCACTCCCGCTGGAACAAATGGCCAGCCACCACGGGAGCGCCCTCGCCCTGAGCGTGGCGGGTCCTAACGGGCTCTGGTTAAGTCCACTCTGCAATGGGCAGTGCAGTACAGGGAGGGGGGGCCGGGGTCCTGGGACGAGCCCCGTGGCTGCTGTGGCATTGCAGCCTCCATGTGCGTTGGATATCTTTACTCAGTGGGCTCTTTTTCACATCCTCTGCTCTCAGAGTTATATGTCTCCAGCCGGTGACACTGAATGCGTCTCCCTTTCAGAGAAGGGGCACGTTCCCATCTTCAGTCCCAGGCCACCTGCCACGAAGAGCGCCTCGCGATCTAGCCCCACCGCCCGTGATCAGATGGTGCTGTCAGGAAGGAAGCACTGAGGATGGGCCGTGGTTCCCGGACGGTCCCCTCTCTAGGAGCGGGAAACGCGGGGGCCTCCAGCGCGGCCGTGCGGACCCTTGGCGGGGGAGTGCCGTGATCCCTCAGCCTCGCACTGGTTCACGCTTCCATCCAGCAAATGGTTTTGAGTGCTCGCTGTGAACTAGGCAAAGCTAAATATTAACCAGTGAGAAATTTCACATTGGAATCTCATCTTCAGTCCAGGCCACCTGCCACGAAGAGCGCCTCGCGATCTAGCCCCACCACCCGTGATCAGATGGTGCTGTCAGGAAGGAAGCACTGAGGATGGGCCGTGGTTCCCGGACGGTCCCCCTCTCTAGGAGCGGGAAACGCGGGGGCCTCCAGCGCGGCCGTGCGGACCCTTGGCGGGGGAGTGCCGTGATCCCTCAGCCTCGCACTGGTTCACGCTTCCATCCAGCAAATGGTTTTGAGTGCTCGCTGTGAACTAGGCAAAGCTAAATATTAACCAGTGAGAAATTTCACATTGGAATCTATAAAGTTGCATGTGAGTAAGCGGTATTACCTTCTTAGTATGCCTTTATCTGGGGTAGAGGATGAGCTTCAAATTGATTGACTGATGTGAAGGAGGCCAGCCTTTTTTCCCTGCCCGACATCTCATTTTCACTTTATGGGTGGGTAACATATCATCACTCTGAATAAAGCAAAGGTGCTGCACCGGCAATCGATCCACAGGGACCGAAATGCTCAACTCCCTCCCAGTGCACGGAAAAGACGAATGAGCTTGGGAAGCTGAAAAGTGACAGCAGGTGACAGTAAGACTTGGGTTGGGCCTTCCACTCTCAGCAGGCTTCTCGGGGAAGCTCTAAACGCACAGTTTCAACCCCCGGTTTCAGTCAACGCACTAACAACAAAGCAGAAGGGAAACAATAAGAAGAACTGAAAAGAGCGTCTGAGGTTTTGTCTGCTTTCTCGCTCGGCCAGCTGTGCCATTTTCCCAGCTCGAGGCCCCTGCGCCGAGCCCCTCTCTGTTCCAGCTGAAGCTCCCATCTGGCCCGCCTGCTCAGGTGCCTGCGTCCGGGCAGAGTGGCAGGGCCCAGCTGAGGCTTGGCATCGGTATCACCGATGTGCACACACGCCCACGCAGGCTGCACGTCACCAGCGCATGTGGGTAGCAGAGGGGATGACATGGGGGCCAATGTGAGAGGCACTTTGTGATGCCCACCGTGTTCTGTTTCTTCACCTGGCAGGTAGTGACACTGGTCGTTGTTTTCCAATTAAGTCATATGTTTTTGCTTTGTGCACTTCTTCGATTGTGTGTTATCTTTCACAATTAAGAAAAAAAGATGTTTAAAAAACTTTTAAAAAGAACTTGGAGCAGTATATGCGTACAGAGAATCACTGTATGTAGATACATGCAGAAACCCGTGATTCCGTTTGCCTTGGCTGACAGATGCTTCTACAGACATTATGGAGCACATACTGTGACCAAAAGTACCAGCGGAAAACCCGTATATCCCCGTGGGGTGTTGGGAAGCAAGACCAGGCTTGGCCCAGGAACCTTTGGCTTTATGGTAAAGGCATCAGAGACCAGACTGGCACATACAGGGCCACCGGGCTGGGGACGGGCTAAGTAGGCAGCATGCGCATCAAAAGTGTAAGGAATTACAGGGCAGTGGGTATCTTTGAAATGCCCCATGTGGGAGTCCAAGCTGGTTCTTCCTGGGAACGTTTTTCATTGAAATTTACAAGGAATTTAGAGGCTAATATCAGAATATGCTCCAGACATCTGAGAACTGGTTTTCCGTTTACACCATCATCAGAGGCCTTTGAAGAATCTAGTCATTGAAGCTCCAGATCCAAGCTTTTTTTCTGGTATATCAACAAGAAAGTTAGATTTTGGCACCGTGCTTTGCGGTGCTGAAGTGGTGCTGGGAACCAGTGGTCAGCATGGGGTGGAAATATTATTCGTATTTAGTGCACACCAGGAAATCTCATTCAGAGCCAAGATGGCCACTGCCAACACAGATTTAAAAAAAAAAAAGAAAAAGAACTGCCACTCCGATTTTAACATTATGCTGGAAATGGTCAGTTGAATCAAGAAAGCCAGCTTCCTCTGGGAGACTGTCCAAATGTGACATGAGAATGATGTCAACATCTAGACCAAACTGTGATGACGTGTCGTCAGCCTTCCGTATGGGTGATGATTTGTTCAGAAGTCTTGAGCGTTTCCGTTGTGATAGCTGGAGAGATTCAGTTACAACAGAGGCACCAGCGAGGGCCTCGAAATGACCCTCATCGGCGCGCAGGTTGTGGTCATCGGCATCGGCCCCCGAGGTAGAACTTGTTCTTCTCTGCAGCGATTTTGCTGTGCGTGTTGCAGCAAGCCTGTCTCTCCGCCACGGGCCATCTCCAGCTTCTCGCAGGGCAGATGTACTTCTCTGGGGAATGCCTCTAGAGATCTCAGGGTCCACAGTGTTTGTTAGGCCATTATAAAACAGTCTCCTTGTCCCTGGGTTCAGTGCAAGCTAATGCAACGAGTGGGCTCCTGCTCAGCCTCACCCTGTGTTTCGTTCCTAGAGGTCCCACCCTGGGTCACTCCGTCCTTCTCATCAACCTGGCACCCCAGTCCAAGACAAAGCTGTCGGTCTCCTAGCTCCTGTTCGTGGAGGAAGCTGTGTCTTTTTCAAAATCAAACCCCAGGCTGGCCTTGGATTAGCCAGGCCTCGATCAGTGTGCAGATCTCCACCTGGGTGCCCCAGACAGGGTCTAACTAAGTCCACCTCTTAGGGATGCTGCTCCCCATTTTCCTGGCTGCCCGCCTGCCCAGATCCCTCAGGCTTTGGGTCCAGCTTCTCTAAAATAGCTTCCTCCTCGTCCTCAGGTTTCTGCCATTTCTCCAGTCCTTAGTTGCTTCGATGTAACCCTTTGCCTCCCACTCCAGGTCACCGGCTCAAATAGTGGCTCAGGGTTCGTGTCAGCATTTCCAAATCTCCTTAGTTTTGCAGTGGAAACATAAGATTTAACAACCCATCTGAAATACAGTTTTACAATTTTACATTTTGATTGCTTCTGCCCCAGCCGTACCGAGGTTACTTTCAATCTACATACATTTGCGAAAATGGGCTTTTCCACTGCTGTTCAATTTGGATCCACCTTATAATATCAGTGATTACAAAATATCGTGAGCTAATAGAGTGTCTTGCTTCCAAGGAGTTCAAACTGCTTTATAATTTTACCAACCATAATTCATCTTCATAAGCTGCTGCAGAGACAAGGAAAAAAGCAAGATGAATAATCTCATTTTATAGATGGTGAAATAAAAACGCGGGGAAATTGAGTAACATTTTTCCAGAAATGCACAGTTCTTCCTGTGCCCTCTGATTAGTGCTGTGGCTTTATTGCCCAAGTTGGGAGTGGCCGTGAACCTTGTACTGGTTTTATTAGTGCACTGTGCGGATGATCGAGACAATGACTCCGGTCTTACACTTGGCCGGGGAGGCTGGGTGAGCAAGAGATTGAACCATGAAAGGGAATTCAGAGTTAGGGCCGTGCTCCCCTGTGCAAAGAGAGAGCAGGAACCGTGGGCAGGCGGCTTTCCTTCTGAAGCTAGGTAGTCGGTACTTGTTGTTGGCTATATTAATCGTCGTACATTTTTTATATAAATAAATGAAACAAAAGTGTTTAATGTGGATGCTTTAATATATTTAAACGGAGTTATCCTAATGTTTCAACTTATAAGCAGGAAAACAGGCTTTAAAAATGGGCTTTAAAAATGAGGAAAAGGGATGCCCTTTACTTCGTTGCTGTCACATGGACACAGACGTATTATAGATAAATGGCTTAGTGTTTGCTGATTGCCTGCTCTGTGCTAGGTGCTTCTGACGATGTTCTGTTTCACTTCGTCCTCATCTAAGCATCAGGAAGTAGGCGTGCGGGTGGACCCTGACAGCCGTGGCATCTCCCTGTGAGCACAGGGCTCCCAAGCATGTGTCATTCCCACTCAGCTTGCGTGAGCTTCCCACCTTTGTTGGGGGTCACTGCCCCACTGGGTCACATGACCTGGATGTGCTCTGGGAATATCCTGTCAGCTGTGTGTGCCATCAGGAGAGCTAGTGGAGCAAAATATCAAAGCTTTAATAATTGATGTGTCGAAAACGACAGTTGTTTATTCCCTTTCTATAGAAAAATAAAATTTTCAGCGTCTCGCTATGGGAATGTTGGAAAGGAACAATCCCTCTCTTTCTTAGGTGCAAATTTTGTCTGACACTTCATGTATGTTTCAAGTATTTTTGATGTCCCAAAATAGCAACGAGGAGATTGATTCCACGGGGTGGCAAATGAAGGATGAGTCGTTAACGGAAGCTGGGCGATGTGAGCCCAGTGGGCGAGGCCCTCTGTCCAGCCAGCAGTCCTACCTGCTGTGGACCCGAGCTGAGAACAGAAACAGCCCCCGTGGAAGAAACTGGAATGTGATTTTTTTTTACAGCAGGCAAACTTTGGAACAGAAAGGCCAAGTGGTCTGGCTCTTGTCATAGGAGGTGTTGCCCCAGGAGACAGTGCCAGCTTCAGGGAAAACCGTGCCAGCCGGGGGCGTGGGATTGCAACAGAGAGACCGATTCTTTGTACCAATGTGCAGTGAGCACCTGCCATGCTCAGGCACTGGGCTAGGACAGCAGCGACATAGGGAGCGGGGAAGGGACGTGCACTCACCCTGACCTGTGCCTGGAGGCCACCTCCACCTGTCCGCTTACCGAGACTCAGCCGAAACTTCTCCCAGGAAGCCCTCCCTGCTTGCCTCTCCTCCCCCGGTCAGTCCCTCTTCCGTGTTCTGGGCACACGCTCGGCACGTTGTATGTTAGCTGTTGGCATAATGTTGCCTCCAGCTACATGTCGGACTCCCGGAGGAGCCATGGGCTCTGGTTTATTCTTCTATCTTCGGCACCCAGCACAGTGCCTGGCACACAAGAGACACTCAGGAAATGGAGGTTGAATATTCAAACATGTGAGTAAACGAATGAAGCTTGAACCAAATTCTGGCTTAGAATAACCATTAGCAAGACTGGTTTCTTCTTTACTCAAGAATAAATGAGCCTTTGCACCCATCAAAATGTGCTTCAGGTGCGCTCAACAAAAGGACACATTTTAGACTTGAATTTGAACTTCCAGAAGCTCAGAGCCTTGTGGATCGGCAGAGCAGGGGACATGGCATCTGCCAGATCACAGCAGAATGGTCTTCAGGTTCTAAGAATTACTGGGGGAAGGGAGGCAGATAGAGAAGTGCCTTCCTCACCCGAGGGTTCATGGCCTGAGTGTCGAGCAGATATTTGTGGAGCATCTGCTGTGTGTGGACTGAGGGTGGAAGCATAGTGAGGCCCAGACTCTGCCCTTCAGAAGGTTTACTGGGAGGCAGATATGCCGACATGTATTTAGAACGGTAGGCGCTCAGTTAATATTGATCGGCCCAGTCTGGTTATTCGTGTTTCTATCTTCATCGCCTGGTATACCAGCACGGAGAAAATGGGCAGTGTGCGTTTGAGTGAGGAAGGAAGGAGGGGAGAGGAACCGGCTGCATCAGAAGGTGACCCAGGTATCATGCGTGCAGGGGAAAGGACACACCGCTAGGGATGAGGCAGAGTTTGGGGGCGGATTGGAAAAGGTTGGACCCAAAGGCGAGAGGCCAGCAGGAAGGTTCAAGAGCAGTAAGGGGATCGAAGAGGGCTCAGTCAGGCCAGCCCCAGTGGGAGCTAAGCGGGGTACCGGCTTCAAGAGAGTTAAGAGACGGGCTCGAGAGGACTAAACCTCGGGGGCTCTTTCAGTCCTAAAGTCCTGACGCTGCGTTACCCGCCCCCCTGCTGCTCTCCCTGAGATGTTTACTGTGATCCCTTTGTGAGCCGCTTACACACAGGTGCCCTCCGAGCCTGGGCGCTAGCCCTGCTGCAGGTGCCTCGCACAGCTGGGCACGGGCTGCACCTGTGGTTCGCACCTGCGTGGAGGCCTGCTCCTCTCAGGCTGCGCCCTGCGCCCCGCAGGCCCGAGCTTTCCCTCCTTCACGGAGATCCACCCCTTCCACTCGCCTTTGTTGGCGCTGCCTTAGAACTGTTCGTCCAAATCACGTATTATAGCACTTCCTTATATTTAATAAAGGCTTATTCAATCCACAAATCCTTATCGATTGAATGGCTACTAAGCGCCAGGCACTGTGCTGCCCTCGTGGACTGAGCAGGGTGAGAGACCGTAAGCAGGTTATTGGGAAAGTGCTATAAAGTGACATTTATGGCACTATAGATGGAAACTAACTGGTGTCAAGGGAGGCCTGTCTGTGGTGGTGACAGTTAAGCTGAGGTTTGAAGGATGAGGAGGAGGCAGCCATCGGAGAGTATCTGAGGCAGAAGCAACGCCATTGCATGAAGGCTCCAGGTCCGGAAACAGCTTAGGTATTCTGGAAATTGAAAGGAAATGGATTGGACTGGAGCTGATTGAACTAGGAATGTGGATTGCAGTGACAGTGGAGAGCTGGTCCCGATCGTGGGGGTCCCTCTGGCTGTGGGAGGGATTTAGGTTTCATTCTAAGTGCAGCGGGGAGCCTCTGAAGTAGTAAAAGCCGAGGCAGGTGTAACCTGTTCACTTTGGCAGCTATGCAGAGAGTAGATTGGAGGAAGGAAAGACCGGAAAGGAGGCTCCAGGTGAGACGGGATGGCCAGGGCCAGACAGGTGGCAGCAGAGGTAGAAGACCAGGGACCAGTTTGAGATCTACTTTGGAGCTGGCCATATTGATGGATTGGGTAGTGAGGATGAAGGGAGAGAGAGAGGAATCAGAGATCTTTCTTAGTTTTCTAGTGTAAGTAATGGGGCAGGAGGGAGGCGGGTAATTTCATTTCGTGAAACAGGGAGAACAGAGGGAGGAGTATGTTGGGGGATGGGGGACGTGGGGGAAGAGTTCCCTTTTAAACCTACAAAGTTTGGGCTCATCGCGAGACATTCCAGTGGAGATGTCAGGCCGTCAGAACATAAATCTGGAACTGAGAAAGGTCCATGATGAGAGAGACATTTGAAAATACAAATGGAATTTGAACCTGTGGGAATGGATATGATTACTATATCAGTTTCTTAGGGCTGTGGAAACACGTACCACAAAATACTTGACTTAGAACAACAGATATTTATTTTCTCACAGTTCTGGAAGCTAGAAATCCAAACGCAAGGTGTCAGCAGGGACAGGCTCCCTCGGAAGCCTCTGGGAGAGAATCGTTCCTTGCTTTTTCTAGCTTCTAGTGGCCCAGGAAGATGCTCGACTTGCGGCACCATCACTCCAAACGCTCCGTCTGTCTCCATCTTCACCTGGCCATCTTCCCTCTGCGTCTGTGTCTAAATTTTTCTCTTCTTATTAGGACACCAGTCATATCGGATGAAGGGCCCACCCTACTCCGATATGATGTCATCTTAACTAATGACATCTGCAGTGACCCCGCTCCCAAATAAGGTCACATTCTGAGATATCAGTAATTAGGACTTCAATGTGTCTTTGGGGAGGGAGGGGACACAATTTAATTTAATCCATAACAATGACCTAGAACAAAGATTAAAAAAAAGAGAGAAGAGAAGGGGTCCAAGGACATTGCCATCGTGTAGCAGTTGGGTAGAGGACAAGCCAGCGAAGGAAACAGATAAGCCACACGCAGAGAGACAGGACAAGTATGGGCACGTGTGGTGTCGTGAAGACCAAGACTATTTCAGAACAGAAGGGAATGAATGGTCAACCGTGTGACAGAAATGAGGCTCTTGGGTCTCGGAGCTGAGAAGTTGACCAATGGCTGCGACAGCGTGGTCACCGCTGATCTCGATGACCACAGCCCCTGAGGGGAGCGGAGGGCGGAAGTCCGGCGAGAGGAGGCGAGGGTCGATGGAAATGGCCGGCCGTTCTTAGAGCTGGCTCTGGAAGGAGAACAGAGAAACGGAGCAACAGCTGCGGGGAGCAGAGGGGATTAGGAAGGGGGTTTGGTTTGGTTTTGGTGTGTTCTGTTCTTGTGTTTTGCTTTTTTTTTTTTTTTTTTTTGATGGGAGATGCTAGGTCATGTTTGCGTGCTCGCATTAGCTCTGTTTTCCTATCTGTGTGTTTATCTTGTGTATGCTTTTTATTCACCTTTAGTGGTCACATGTGTTTCAGTGCTGCCTTCCGGGCATTGGGGCCCCTTGGGGACAGGACTATGCCTTCGATTTCTTTTGTCTCCCAAGCATTGCACCCGACCCTTGAGCATTTGTTCGTTATAGTCACAGCAAGGGAAATATTCTGCTGTACATGTTACGGCACCGTGAACGGCTGCCGTTTCATTTTCTAATGGAAAATGACTGAAAGCGATTTTTCACAGGCCCCGTTCACATAACGTCAGCTGACGAAATCCACGTCCGGTGTTTCCTGCCAAAGAATAGCACCGAAGTGCCCTTGTCACGACAGTCTCATTTATTAGATTCTGCCTGTCACGTCATCGGAGGAAAGAAACTGGGAAGTAGGTTTCCGGGGGTTCCAAGCGGCCTGCTTAGAGAACCAATTGATTAACCTGATAGGAAGGGCCGCCCCATGGTCAGGTCCAGAGATGTCCCCTCGGAACCAGACTGGCCTGTTCCTAAGACCTGGCCTGGAGACTGGAGTGTCCAGGCTGCCAAACCCAAAGGCACAGGTCACAGGAACAGGAGGACAGAGGTCCAGAGATGAGTGATCTGGAGTCAGCAGCCTGTCAGAGGAGGGGGAGGGGGTCCTCGGGAACCGGCACCAGAATTCTCCCACGCTGGACACAGCCACCTAGGCCGGTTGTGGGATCAGAGGTCCCGTGATACAGGATGGTCCAGCAGTGATGGGCCACACGACCACCACAGACATCCCAGTGCATCAGTACCAGAGGGCAAAAACGGCCTCCTGCGTTCACGGACCAGAGAGGACCACGTGACTGGCAGAACACTGGCAACTGAGAATGCACAGCAGTGAGGGACGCGGCACGGCAGGCCCGGTAAGCAGCACCGAGGCCACTCCCACCCGCCCAAGAAGACCCAGCCCTGGATTGCAGGAAGAGCTTTTCTTGCTGCCCAGACCGACGACCCAGCCGCAGAGCTGAATCCCCAGCTCAAAGGAGGTGAAGAAACTCCTTT